GCTTTCGCAGGCTGAGGGCAAAGGGCGCCGATTCAAGATTGTCTTTCCGCAGCGCGAGATCAGGCTTCCTGATGAGATGGGTCAGCGCAAACAGGTTGCGTATATCAACGCCATGGGTTTGCCGACGCTCACCCTGGCCAACTTCAATGCCGAGCTGCAGCAGTCTGATCTTAAGGATGACGAGACGTTCCAGCAGAGAGTGGAGCAGAGCAAGCAGGACTTCAAGGCGCGCCGTTCGTTTCGGGACTAGAGATAGACTTTCTAAATCTTGGGGTAAGAAGATCATTCAGAGCTTGAATGTCGTTACGCTCAATTGCTGTGGGATGGCTCTTGATGCGTTCAGTGGGTTTCTAGAAAGTATATCAGAGGAGTGCGAGTGGGACGTACTACTCTTGCAGGAGGTCTTTGCGGTCTCGACGAACTTACCGAATTCAATCCAAGGACATTTTGTCATAACTTCTACAGGCGCTCTACAGATCCGTGGATGTGCTATTGTATTTCACCGGCGTCACCTTCATTGTGTTCACAAAGCTCCAGAACCTATACATCCTCGTGTGACGGTGGCGAGGGCTTAAGGACAAATCGTTTCTCTTTGTCTCTACTTACCTTCCTCAACCTACTTCTGAAGAATGCTACTATGACACCTCCAACCTCATCTTTGGCTACATCTCGACACATCATATGCCTGGTGATACTCTCATCTTGGGTGCTGACTTTAACGCTGAGCTTGGCCCTAAAGAACTTCACGAGGAGGATCAGTATCTTGGGGACTTCTCGGGTGGCACACGAAATGAACGTGGAGAGTGGCTTCTCTTATTAGCAATGCAGTACGGGCTGGCTTTCTCTCACACCTTTTGTCCTCGGGGAGGTGTACCTACCAGGTATGCGTTTGGATCGGACCAGACCTTGTACCACGGCTCTTTCATTGATGGCTTTATGGTTTCCAAAGCATGTCGGGCAAGAGTAAGACAGACTAAAGTACTGGACACTGCTGCGACGATCACGGACCACCGCATGCTCATCATGCAGTACGAATGTCAACACGAACGCGTTTGGCGAGAGAAGAAACCTCTCGGATGGCGAGTTCAGCAACCTGAAGAGTATATTTCAGGGATAGCTTCTTCACTCACCTCGGATATGACGCTGGAGGACTTCTCGAGAACCATTGGGAAGGCTGCAGTCAACACTGGGAAGAGTATGAGTGCTCGGGCTGCTGCGCGTCAGGATCGTGTACTCCTTCATGCTCTGGAGGCGGCTTGGCGACAGGCTCCCACTCAGGCTGAGAAGATTGCATGCGCTCGTAAAGTATGGGCTGAGAGACGACGGCTGCGCGACCTTAAGCATCACGCGGCGTCTCAGGCTGTTCTAAGCAACTTGCGAGCCGGGGGTCGGGGCAAGAAGGCCTCTGGCACCTCAGGCAGACTGGACCTGAGGGATCCTGAAAAAGAAGATCGGTCCATCACGAACCCGTCGGAGATTGTCGATGCTGGTCAGAAGTATTATAGCAAGCAGTTCTCTGAATCTCGCTCCAACCTCCTTAACATTCCCTCCTGGATCTATGGCAAGTTCAAGATAGACAATACCTTCAACATATCTCACCTCCTAAAGTGTACTATGCTACTTAAGCCTCGTAAGTCGTGCTGCTCTGAAGATATGGTTGTTGCCGAAATGCTGCAGGCCATTGCCATGCAAGGTGCCGCCGCCCCCTCAGCTATGCCAAAAACTATTGACTTTGGGGATATGGGTCCTGGGGCTTATGGGAGAGCCTGGGTCGGACAGTTTGATGGGGCTCGGCGTGATGAGGACAATGCTGGATGTGGCTGTGTTCTACATGATGGTATGGGTGTGGAAATGTTTCGCTTTTCGCATCGGCTTTCTCCTGGGAGCTCTTCGATTGATGCTGAATGGCATGGTCTACTTTTCCTCCTGGAGATCGCTCTTGGGTATCGGAACGAGGATGTTCAATATGATTTCGTTATCGAAGGTGATTGTGACCCAGTCGTTAACCAGCTTGCGGGACTATGGTCTGTCTTAGATAGTCGTACGTGGGCTTATCGATCATCGGCTCTTGCCCTCATCGCTCGGCTGGGAAGGGTTCGCATCCGTCATGTCCGTCGCTGTTTCAACAAGGTTGCAGACTCTCTGGCAAATGAAGCTGTTGACCACTACGATCTATGTAGCCCCCTCACACTTGGCTTACAACACTCTTGTACTCGATGCTGCCCTTGTCTCTTGGAGTGCGCAGAGAACGAAGAAGTTCGTGACGCCCCTCTGTCAATTACTTCACCGTCGAAGGGTACGCAAGTGGAGAACCCATTTTGGACACTTAAAGAAGCCATTGATCGTGATCTTCGTGGTGAGTTCTGCACTGTTATGCCTCATCGCCTTCAGCTCGACCATAGTCACGATGTGTTGCGGAAGAGACAGTGCTTGGCTGATCGCCCCCTACATGTTGCGGCTGCGCGCATGGACACCCAGCGGACTTTGTGTGATTTGGCATTGGTTCCGAAGGAGAGCTTGGTCACTTGGTTCAACTTGCTAAGGCCGCTGGCGATTATGCCAGTGCTTCCAAAGATGGTGGGAGGTGCCCTTCTTGAATCTATCAAGGATAAGATTCATGACATCGCTCCCTGGCAATTTGCTTATCGTGAGGGGCACAGCGTCATGGACATGGTGTTCATTATTATGATGATGGCTCAGAAATGTATGCAAGGGGGACTTGGTTTTGTTGCTGGTTCTGCTGATATTCCTAAGGCTTTTGATTTTGTATGCCATCTTCGCATGCTTCAATCCCTTCAAAGGCGAGGTGTACCAGATTTTATTGCTGCTTGGTTTCTCAGACACTTACGATCTATTCGATATAATGTTCACTTGGTGGGTGACACGGCTACCACGTCACCCATTACTCGCGGCGTTCCTCAAGGGTCTGCTTGGGGGCCGGCTTTCTTCAAAATGGTGCTTACTGATTGTCTACACCCAGTATGGCAGAAGTGTGTGGCAGATCGACTTGGCATTGCGATGCTGGATGTTGCTCACTGTGGTCATCATTATTCCAAGTGGTGCAGAATGTGCAATTTCAAGTTTATTCCCTTCTTGGTTTGGAGTGACAATCTGTTCATACTGGCCAACAGTATCGTGGATGCGCGTGAGATATGGAAGAGATGTCGTGCAGCACTTGTTCTTTATGGCTGGGACCTTCCTGAAGATCGTATCACGCTCTCGGTGAACAATACCAAGGAAAAACATCCTTGGTCCAAGATATGGCCTGCTGTTGAGATTATTCCGCATGATAAGGCGATGAAGATCACTGGCATATGGATGAACGCTCGTGGACAACTGGATCAAGATGTTCGCACTAAAACGCTCACGGCTACATCAGTGGTGGGATCTGTCCAGCACTTACTTTCTAGTCCGTCAAGCACTCGTATATCTAGATTTCGCTTAATTCACCGTACGGTATCATCTTCGTGCTTATGGTGTTCACCAGTCTGGAATCTATGCCGACGCAAGGCATTGGCTTTGCGTGCGGCTCAGACAAAACAATTTGCTCGTCACATACGCTGGCCTCGTCTACCAGAAGAAACTGATGAATCGTATTCTCGGTCGGTCAGGTCGCAGATTAAGAAAATCAAGATTGCTGAACACATCCAGGACCCAGATGTAATAGTATGGCGTCGTCTTTATAGGTATGCTGGCCATATCGCACGTAAAGTTCATCAGAATCCTGATTCTATTCTGGGTCATGTTCTGAACTGGAATTCTCACCAACACGCTGTAACTGAACAAAGAGAAGGAGAAAAAACAGGGTTTTCAGAAGTTTCCGTGGCAATGTGTCTGGGAATATCAATTGACTAGATTCTAGTATCCTCGACGTATTCACTGGATGGAATTGGCTCTAGATAGATATGCGTGGAAGGCGTATGAGGAGGAGTACATTCTTTGGCGGCTGGGGGGAATCTAAAGGTCGTGCTAGTGTTTGAGGCTTACCTACAGCTTCACCGAGCAGAACCGAGGTTGCATTTGAGAGGCGTTTTGTTCCTCACCTACAGCTTCGCTAACCTGAACCGAGGTTGCATTTGAGAGGCGTTCTGTTCCCCACCTACAGCTTCACAGAGCAGAACCGAGGTTGCATTTGAGAGGCGTTTTGTTCCTCACCTACAGCTTCACAGTGCAGAACCGAGGTTGCATTTGAGAGGCGTTTTGTTCCTCACCTACAGCTTCACAACGCTGAACCGAGGTCGCATTTGATAGGCGTTTTGTTCCTCATCTACAGCCGCACAGAGCAGAACCGTGGTTACATTTGAGAGGCGTTCTGTTCCTCACCTTCAGCTTCACATAGCAGAACCGAGGTTGCATTTGAAAGGCGTTTTGTTCCTCACCTACAGCCGCCACAGAGCAGAACCGAGGAGGAGTACATTTATGGAGATTGGGAGAATCCAAGAATCGTGCTAGCGTATGTGATATCTTCTTGAACGAGGTTTACTTTGTCGTCGTCCTTGCCTGAGTTCCTGCCCTCTCGCTCCGCTGCTGCGTTTAGAGTAGTATGTCATGCTGGATGGCCCCCATCTCTTATAGCATGCCACCGCCACCACCACCTCCTCCTCCTCCTCCTCCTCCTCCTCCTCTTTCTCCTCCTCCTCCTCCTCCTCCTCCTCCTCCTCCTCCTCCTCCTCCTCCTCCTCCTCCCTCCCCTCTTGCGTTTCATTCTCCCGCTCATGTTCCTTGCCCCCCTGTCAGCCCAACCCCCAGGCACCTTTCAAACCGCGCTGTTGCGCGGCGAATCTGGTATTCCGCTGGGGGGAGCACGGAAGGCACGCTGGCAGCTTGGGGGCCCACAAGGGAGGGGAGAAGAGGAAGGGGAGGAGGAAGGGGGTGGCTCCAGGCAGCCATGCTGGCAGCGAGATGGGCAGAGGATCGCCCGCGCTAGACATGGAGGGCGAGAGAGAAGGAGGCGGGGGAGGGCAGGGGAGGGGGGAGGGGAGATCGCGCGCGTTTTGCAGGAGGACGTGCAGAGCTGGGAGGGCGTTTGGACGCAGCCCAAGAAGGAGTTCTGCTGCAAAGCGATACGCGTAGGTGCCCCTTGTGGGGCTGGAACCCCAAAACAGTGCGAGAGCGGGCCAGGCAAGGAAGGCAGAGCTAGAATTGAAGGAGGAGTGGGATAGGGCGCAGGAGAAGGAGGATGAAGACACGGAGGAGGAGCATAAGTCCACCACAGCACAACTACAGGGTTTCTAATTCGACACGCACACACACAAAAGAAAAATTGATAGCATCGCGCGAACCAAAATCCATGTTGATTCGGGTGAAAAGGGGTAGTGGCACAAGTTGCCAAGCGTCGAGATCCACACAGAAGCAGTGTCAAACGGCCCTGTCCAAAGCGCGTTCCGATGCAGGACTTGGTTTGCCCCCGATGTATCAGTTGTATTGCCCGACAGCCCTATCCCGCTCATCAGCAGAACTGGCGAGAGTACAAGAGATCAGCGTTCATATGAGTCGCCCTGGCAATCTACCCAGTAAGCAAAAACCGTTCAAACCGCTCGAAGCAAAAGCCATCTCATAGCTCGTCCAGTACCACGCGAAAACATTCCATCGAGAACTCCGCCTGTACTGACAACAGGGTAGTTCCCAACGTCACGGTCACCGTCATATCGATAGCTGATACACCGCCACTCTTTGTTCCTATTCCTCATGCTTCCCCTCTTCCTTCTCCTCTTCCTTCTCATTTTCATTATCATCTTCCTCCAGGGGTGGTGCAGTCAGGTGTTCGATCGAGGGAGTGGCTAGGGCGTCAGCATGGATCTCGTCAGGCCGACCGGCAGGATGGATCTTGCGTTTGAATCAGAGGTTTTCTCCTCCTCCCTCTCATCCTCTTGGTTCAAGCTTATCCGGGCAGGTTCGTTAAGGTCGTTCAGTGGTGATTCGGGTCAGGCCAATTGGCACGCGACGCTCAGCCATGCAGCGGATAGTCGCCGCGAGCGTCCCGCAATTAGTTACAAACCGAGTGTGAAATCAGAGATCCACATTGTTATCCAATCAGTCTTAGGTCTAGTCTGTTCAGTACATGTGGAGTTTGATCACACAATTGGCACCAGAGAGGAGGAGGATGAGGAGGAGAAGGAGCAGGAGGAGGAGCAGGAGGAGGAGGAGGAGGAGCAGGAGGAGGAGCAGGAGGGGGAGAAGGAGGAGGAGGAGAAGGAGGAGGAGGAGTAGGAGGAGGAGAGGAGGAGGAGGAGGAGGAGAAGGAAAAAACGGGTGTTGATGGGGGAAGAAGGAGCGCGGCCACGAAGACGACGGGGACGGGCGGCGAGGACGAGGAGAACGTGGGAGGAGGAGACGGAGGAAGAAGAAGAGATGGAGGAGAAGGGGACGGGAACATAATGAGGAAATGATGGAGGTAGAAGGAGGAGGGAGGTAGGCAGGGGAAGGAGGAAGGGAAGGAGGGAGGGAGAGAGTGAGGAGGAGAAGGAGGAGGTGAAGGAGGAGGAAGAGGAGGAGGAGGAGGAGGAGGACGACGACGATGACGATGAAGAGCAAAGGATGAGGCAGGAGAGCGGTTCCAAGAGGTTTCGCGGGATCTCCTCCTCCATCGTCGTCATCACACCCGTCACTCCCTCACCCCCGCCCTCCGCGTCAGTATGACTTCAGGACGCAGTCAGGCGACAAGGTGACTGCAGAGTCAACGACGCGGGGCCCCCCTCAGCTCTGCGATCTGTGAGCCGGCCTGCGTGCGCCCCTCCCCCTTCGTCGTCGGCCCCGCTCCCCCCACTTGGCATCGCTCGGACGTGTGCATTTTTCCTTCGGCGAGGGCCATCGAGGAGCATCCTCGATCACTTGGCGAAAAAACCACGCACGAAACCGAAAAAAACACAGAGAATGGACGTCCGAGCGATGGCGAGCCCATCGGCGCCATTCTCTCGCTTCTCGAGGTGATCCCTGGACCAGGCTGGGAGGGGGGAGGGGAGGGAGGGTGGCGGGGGGGGCGGCGGCGAGCGGAGGTGCAATGCAGGGAGAGGGGAAGGGGGGGGAAAGGGGGGGGAGGGGGGAGGGGGAGGGGGGGAGGGGGAGGGGGAGGGGAGGGGGAGGGGAGGGGAAGGGGGAGGGCGAAGGGGGGGGGAAGGGGGAGGGGAGGGGGAGGCGAAAGAGTGGGCGGAGGGATGGGGGCCGCCAGCTGCTCGTCTCGAGACCGCGCCCAGGCTGCCCGCAGCAGCAGCAGCAGCAGCAGCAGCAGCAGCAGCAGCAGCAGCCTCAGCAGCAGCAGCAGCAGCAGCCTCAGCTAGGGGCGTCCGATCTCGGCCAGCAGCCGGACCTGGCCATTTCGCTGCCTTTCGATTGCGACGCCGGCTTCAACAATTGGATGGCAGGCTGGTCGCAAGCGAAGAAGGCCCGGGGAGGAGGAGGGGAAGGAGTCTCCAGTCGCTCCCCACCCCTCAGATTTCGTCGCTTTACTATCCAGTGGACTGGCGGGGGAGGTGCGCAAAGTGGGGAAAGAGGAGGAAGAGGAGGATGAGGAGGAGGAGGAGGAGGAGGAGGCGGGGACTAAGGAGGAAGGCTCTTTACCACTCCTGGCTGCGTGGCATGTCAGCCACTCAAGCTTGAATATTGCAACCTGTTCGGGCAGGAGGAGCAGGAGGAGGAGGAGGAGGAGGAGGAGAAAGAGGGGGAGGAGGAGGAGGGGGAGGGGGAGGGGGAGAGGGAGGGGAAGGGGGACAAGCTAGGTGCGCTCGCGTCATATCTGACGCTAGGTGCGCTCGCCATATCTGACGTCCTACCCCTCCCCCATCCCTTACCATGGCGCTGATTTTCTCTATCCGCGGACGCGTGTCGTAGCGGACCTGTGGCTCCGCGCGCGCGTGCGTAGTGGGTGGTGGTGCACGGCGTGCGGCGTGCGTGTGTTTGTCGTGTGGTGGTGGTGGTGGTGGTGTGGTGGTGGTGGTGGTGGTGGTGGTGGTGGTGGTGGTGGTGGTGGTGGTGGTGGTGGTGGTGCTGCTGCTGGTGGTGCTGGTGGTGGTGGTGGTGTTGGTAATGTGCTGGTGCTGGTGGTGGTTGTGGTGGTGGTGGTGGTGGTGGTGATGGTGGTGGTGGTGGTGCTGCTGTTGGTGGTGGTGGTGGTGCTGGTGATGGTGGTGTTGGTACTGGTGCTGGTGCTGGTGCTGGTGGTGTTGGTACTGGTGCTGGTGCTGGTGGTGGTGCTGGTGGTGGTGGTGGTGGTGGTGGTGGTGGTGGTGGTGGTGGTGGTGGTGGTGGTGGTGGTGGTGGTGGTGGTGGTGGTGGTGGTGGTGGTGGTGGTGGTGGTGGTGGTGGTGGCGGTGCGGCGCGGTGGTGGCGGGCGGATGGGCGCGCGAGAAAAGGCCCGCGCTGGGGCGAGAACGCCATCCTGAACGACGGAGGCCAAGCACCGATCCGAAAATGAGGCCCACGCTGCAGCGGGAGCACGATTCGGAACGATTCGGGAGCAGAAATGAGGCCGGCGCCTCAACGAGAGCAGCATTTTGGGAAAAAATGACGCCGGCGCCTCAGCGAGAGTCGTTTCCCGGGATTTCCCGGGCATCCTGTGTGTAAAAAACAGTACGCGGAGGGTGCGCGGCATCACCCGGACGCCATCAGGGGAAGGATTCGGGAGCAGAAATGAGGCCGGCGCCTCAACGAGAGCAGCATTTTGGGAAAAAATGACGCCGGCGCGAGAGCAGCATTTTGGGAAAAAATGACGCCGGCGCCTCAGCGAGAGTTGTTTCCCGGGATTTCCCGGGCATCCTGTGTGTAAAAAAACAGTACGCGGAGGGTGCGCGGCCATCACCCGGACGCCATCAGGGGAAGAGGGAGAGTATATTCATATTGAGTAATTGTCGAGGGGAATATTCCCAATGGGGCGCCCTCCCTCTGAGGTGGCCCAGTGCGTCCGCACGGACCGCTGGGCAGCGCACCTGGTGCGGCCGAACGGAGACCCTCGAGAGACCCCGAGACTTCAGCCGGCCGGCGCAAACAGACCAACCAGAGATTGGGCGCTGCGTACCCAGACCCCCTCGCGTCATGAAAAAATCACGACATGAGGTTTTTCGCTATTTTCGGCCTCTGAGGGCCCTTACCCGGCCTTCGGGACCGTCAAAAAACGACTCAGAGCGAAAAACCGGTCCCGGGGAAGGGGTCCAGACCTCTGGGGGTCGATGTCGTGAAAAAAATCACGACGTCGGGGGTCTGGGTAATGGTGGATCATAAATGGGGGGGCGGCGAGCGTGGTCCGAAAAGGTACCCAAACGGTACCTAAACGAGCCCCCTGGGGCTCTGGAGGGGCCCGAAAGGGGCACGAAAGGGGACCTTTTCTGACCCCCCCATGTGTGACCCCCCCATTAAGCCACGCCCAAAGGGAGGGAGGGCGGGGGAAGCTGGCGACGCCAGCAGGAAGGCCCCCGGCCCGCAGACGGGGCATCGACCTGCCGAGCGCCTTCCTGGAGTACAGCCGGGGCCCTGAAGAAGGAACCCTTTTCGTTGGGGAGGGGCTCGGTGTTCCTGGATTGTTTCACAGCTTGCCTCAGGTCTTCCTTAAGTTTTCGATGGGAAATCGAAGTTTAACTTGTGGAAGAAAGGGGCCTCGTTCCTTATTTAGAGTTCCTTAGGTCAACGCCCCGACTGTATTCCCTGGCGCCTCCGGACGCCAATCCAAGCCACCGCGGGGCAAGCTGGGGCTTTCCAGGGAGCCCAGCGGGACCTCGCGGAAGCCAGGCTCTCGGACCACCAGGGAAGGCGCAACGACCCCCATTGGGAGCGACGATCGACATTTGACATCCCGCCTCGGACCCAGGCAGAGTGGGCGAATCGCTGAATCCACTGATGGGGCGACAAGGATGCAACCTGCCAAGAATCTCCCTCGCCAGGAGCCACGTTCAGGGACGATGGAGAGGGAGAAGGGCGAAAGACCAAAAGGGAGGCGGGGATGGGGAAGGGAAGATGGGGCAAAGGTGAGGGGGAGGGGAAGGAAGGGGAGATGGAACACAGGGGCTAGGAGTACTGGCAGGCGAAGCGGGGGGAGGAGAGACCTGGACAGCGAGCGGGCAGGAAGGGGTGAAGAGGAAGGGAAAGGAGAAGGGAAAGTGATGATGGGGCCATCCAGCCACCAGCCGCTGACCAGGGTGACCCTGTCATGCTCTCCGTGCCATCCTTCACACATCTTCGGCCCCCCCCTCCTCCTCCTCTCCTCCGCTCTCTCCCTCCTCCCTCCTCCTCCTCCCCCCTCCTCCTCCTCCTCCTCCTCCTCCTCCTCCTCCTCCTCCTCCTCCTCCTCCTCTCCTCCTCCTCCTTCCTCCTCCTCCTCCTCCTCCTCCTCCTCCTCTCTCCTCTCCTCCTCTCCTCTCCTCCTCCTCCTCCTCTCCTCCTCCTCCTCCTCCTCCTCCTCCTCCTCCTCCTCCTCCCTCTCCCCGCAGCCATTCTGGGACATGTTTGGCTCTCGAGCCACTCTGGCGCAAGGTGTATTTCCTCAAAGCCGGGGGCCCGGGCCTGGCTCAAGCGTGGGGCGCTCGAGCCGGCGCGTGCGTTCCTCCCTGGGCTTTGACGCCGGCCTGTGTGCAGCTGCAGCTCGAGGCCGTCGGCTTCCGCCCCGTGGGCGTTGGGCTACGAGGCGGCGCAAGACGGGGTCGAATTCGGTCCTTCACCGTGCTTAGGGGGCCACATGCGAACCCTACCCCTACCCCCCACGATTTCTGAGGGGGAGGGGGGGTTCACCTCGCTCGGGAGCTCCCGCGCGAAGTGAACCCCACCCTCCCCCTCAGAAATCGTGGGGGGTAGGGGTAGGGTTCGCATGTGGCCCCCTAGTGCTGCTCGAGGTATTGGCGCGGTGGCTCTTCCACGCATCCGCGTCGAACACATCTCGCTGTTGCACTGGAGGCCTGGGCGCACTTCCACCGCTTTTGATCATTGTGCAGTTCGCTGTCCGGTGGGATGTGGCCCAGGTACCTTTCTGTTTCAGGGCTGGAAGGATGAGCCGTGGTGGCTAGCATTCCCCTTGACCACGGGCCTGATGTGCCCTGGTGTTTTCTCGGCTTCTGGAGGAGCTGTTGGTGTGTCTTCGGCGACGTTGATGTGGCCTCTGGCCTGGATTTTCTGTGTGGCGCTTCACATTGTTCGGCTCTTCGTCGTTGTCGTGCTGGTGCAGGTGGAGATCATCATCAATGTATGTGCCAGGTCTTGTGCTCGTGGGCTACATCGTGCGGGTGTGGCTGACCACGCGTATCGAGTCTTGTTGTGCGCGGCTACATCGGCGAATCAGGGCAGGCCAGCTTAGGTGCAATATGCTGGCATTGTGTGCTACTATGCGTGTTGTATCCACGTCTTGTCTGGCTGGTGTCTGAAGGTAGCGTGCAGTTCGCTACATATATTGAGAGTATTGCTGGATTGGGCAATGCTACTACATCACAGCGGAGGGCAACGTGCCGGGTGTGTTTTCATCATTGTCATTCGATTATACGCGTTCGTGAAATGAGCGTCTGTGAAACGGAGTGTCTAGAGCATGAGCCGCGCATTTAAGAGTGTTAGAATGAGAAGTGAGATTCCTCCTCCTCCTCCTCCGCCTCCTCCTCCTCCTCTTCCTCCTCCTCCTCCGCCTCCTCCTCCTCCTCCTCCTCCTCCTCCTCCTCCCCTTCCTCCTCCCCATCCTCTCCTCCTCGTCCTTCGCCTCCTCCTCCTCCTCCTCCTCCTCCGCCTCCTCCTCCCCCTCCTCCTCCCCATCCTCTCCTCCTCGTCCTTCTCCTCCCCCTCCCCTTCCTCCTCATCACCGCACCTGCTGCCGTGCCGATCCGCTCGGGCGCGCGGGGGGCGCGCTCTCTTCGAGCGGGCATCGGCCGATCGAGGGCCCATCTCGCCACTCTGTCGCCTGCTCTGCGGGCTCTCCCCCTCCCCCCCCCCGGGGGGGTAGGCAGGGGAAGGAGGAAGGGAAGGAGGGAGGGAGGGAGTGAGGAGGAGAAGGAGGAGGTGAAGGAGGAGGAAGAGGAGGAGGAGGAGGACGACGACGACGATGACGATGAAGAGCAAAGGATGAGGCAGGAGAGCGGTTCCAAGAGGTTTCGCGGGATCTCTTCCTCCATCGTCGTCATCACACCCGTCACTCCCTCACCCCCGCCCTCCGCGTCAGTATGACTTCAGGACGCAGTCAGGCGACAAGGTGACTGCAGAGTCAACGACGCGGGGCCCCCCGCAGCTCTGCGATCTGTGAGCCGGCCTGCGTGCGCCCCTCCCCCTTCGTCGTCGGCCCCGCTCCCCCCACTTGGCATCGCTCGGACGTGTGACCATCGAGGAGCATCCCCTCGATCACTTGGCGAAAAAACCACGCACGAAACCGAAAATTTGCCTGGCGAAGAACCCAACCATATGCAGTTGTCAGTACCGCAGCTGCGGGTTTCATCTTCAATGGAACTCCCCATAGGATTACGGAACGTGTGAGGGGTGTGCCGAGATGGGTGTCACTGGGGCATTCGGCGAAGCTCCCTATGGGGACATGAAACACGCGCGGGGCGTGCCGACATGGGTGGCGGAAACGCATGTGCGGGCCGCCACTGGGGCCTCCAGTGGAGCTCCCTATGGGTCCCCGAAACATGATGCTGCTGCCGGGGGGGGGGGCCGGGATGGGTGGCGGAGACGCATGTAAGCGCCGCTACTGAGGCCTTCGGTGGAGCTCCCTATGGGGCCGCAAGACGTGTGAGCGCATGCCGCGGGCACTGGGGCCTTCGGAGCTCCCTATGGAGCCACGAAAACCGTGCCGAAATGGGTGCACGCATGCGGGCGCGGGCACTGGGGCCTTCGGTGGAGCTCCCTATGGAGCCACGAAACGTGTGAGGGGTGTGCCGAATGGGTGTGGGTGACGCATGCGGAGCGCGGGCTGGGGCCTTCGGTGGAGCTCCCTATGGAGCCACGAAGCGGTGTGAGGGGTGTGCCGAATGAAAGAAGGAGAGGAGAGGAGAGAGAGGAGATAGAGGAAGGAACGAGGACCCAACACCACAGGATGGTTGGGAAAAACATAGAGAATGGACGTCCGAGCGATGCCCAGGGGGGGGGGGGGGGGCACGGCCGGGGCCGGCCAGGGAGGAGGGGCGCCTGGAGCCCTCGGGGACGGAGGGTGGCCGCGTCCCCAGGGCGCCTTCGCAGCGGGCGGTGGGGGCCGCTGCTGCGGCGGTGGCGGCGGCGGTGGCGAGCGGCCTGACCCGCAGCGGCCCTCCTCCTCCTCCTCCTCCTCTCTCTCTCTCTCTCTCTCTCTCCCATCCCCAGGGGCGGACGCCCCGCGGAGTCCCCTCCCTCCTCCTCCTCCTCCTCCTCCTCCTCCTCGGCGTGCCGGGGCGGCCGCGGAGGGCGCCGAGGAGCTCGTGCTCTCCGTCGCGCGGCCGTCGCGCCCCTGCCCCGGTGTGGCTCGCGCGTGGCGAGCAGCCTGGTTCGATGCTCGTTTGGGGGGACCTTCCTGGGGCCCACCTAATGGATCTGTTCGACTCAAGTTCGACTCAGGTTCGACTCAGGTTCGACTCAGATTCGACTCAGGATCGACTCAGGTTCGCCTCAGGTTCGACTCAGGTTCGACTCAGGTTCGACGCACGAGTGGAGCGAGTGGCTCCAGGAAGGTCCCCAGAATGGGCATCTAAGCCTGGCTGCGGCGAGCGTGCCACGCACAGCGTCGGCGTCCGTGCCCGGTGCCGCGCCCGCCGCGGCCGCAGCGCAGCACAGGCAGCAGCACGGACCGGGACCAGCAGCAAGCAGCGCGGCAGTGCGGAAGGGGCCCCGCAGCAGAGGGCCATCGTCGTCAAAGTCTTGGAACAGGCCGCCGCGGCGCCTCGCGACAGGGACCAGCAGCACGATGCGCGGCAGCACACCACCAGGGAACAGCAGCAGGCGGACGACATCGGCTTGGCGCAGGCTGGCATTGCACCCGCCGCGGTGCCGCGCGACCGGAGCCAGCACGGCGAAGTGCACCAGCAGCAGGCGGTGCGGCAGCGCGACCGGGACCGAGGCCGACCTCGGCGTTCGGCGCAAGCTGGCATGACAACCTGCCGCGGGGCCGCACGACCAGGGCCAGCAGAGCGTTGCGCGTACTGCGAAGCAAGACCGGGTCAGCACTCTTCTCGGACTTTGTCCAAAGCGTTTGCTGGCTCGGCGCTCCCCGTGGGATGCCCGTGCCGAGGCGGGCCAGCTCGACTGGGCACACTAGCAGCACGCAGCGGGCGCCGCAGCCGCCTGGGAGCAGCGCGCGGCGCCACTGCGGCCGAGCCCCCGAGCGGGGCGCACCGCCGGTGCCTCGCGGTGGCCCCGCGGCGCGCTCGGAAGCGGATGCCGTGCCCGCCGCGTGGACGACGGCCATGCGCCCCAGGGAGGGCCTCCACAGTCGGGTGCATCGCGGCTACGCGCAGGAGTTGCCCTTCGCGACCTTTCTGGTGCGGGCCCACACAGGCCCCCCCTGGCTCTGGCCTGCGCGCTTGGACTTGCCCCCCCCCCGCCCCCCCCGCGGCCCCGAGAAGCCGCGCGCCAAAGGTTGCTCCTGCCTCGGGCGGCCTTGCGTCAGCCGAGGTGCAGCTGCCGTCTGGGTCGAAGGCGGGCCGCGCGGCGGCGAGCCGGGGCCCCCGGCGGGCCGCAGCTGGCACGAATGCGCGGCTGGCTCCGAGTTCTGACGCCCTGTCGACGGCGAGCCCGCCTCTGCAGGGAGCACACGCAGCAGCGCCTGCCCAAGGGGGCCTGGTGCTCAGTGGGCCCTGGAAACGACAGGGCCGTTTTTCTACCGGTTCCGTTTTGCCGTTTCTTTGCCGGTTCCGACGCCGTGTTTTTACCGGTTCCGTCGCCGTTTTTTGACCGGTTCCGGCTCCGGTTCCAATCCTGGAGCCGTTTTTTGGGGAAACGGCCCTGCCGTTTCTGGGGCCCACAAAGGCCCGGTGGTCTCGGGATCACCCGACCATCGTGGCAGGCTGGACTCCACCGGCACTGGTGGCCTCCACTTCTGCTTCCTGGGGCCAAGGCTCCAGGAAGACGCCGTCGCCGAGCCCCGTGTCTTCGGCGGTGGCCGTGCGCTCTGACGTTCGCCGAGGCGGTGTAGGCTGCAGCTGAATCGTGCTGGGATGCAGCGGCGAGCATGCTTTGAGCCGCCCAGCTCTTGAACCGCCGACGCCGATGGCTATCTCCCAATGTCCACGCGAACTTCGCAGTGGGCGCCAGATTCTGGCCCGCGTCCGTCCTTCGCAGTGGGCGCCAGATTCTGGCCCGCGTCCGTCCGCCGCCGAGCGCGGCCCGACTTGCCCCCGTCTTTCTCCGCCTTCCGGCGCCGCTGTGGCCCTACCGTTCTCCCCTTGGATGCCGATTGCCGACGACGATGTGCAAAAATCACCACCAATGTCATCTGACTCCTCTCCGTCTTCCTGCTGCAGTCGGGGCGCTGAAGAAGGAACTCTTTTCGTTGGGTAGGGGCTCCGTGTTCCTTAGTTGTTTCACAGCTTGCCTCAGGGTTTCCGAATGTCTTCGACAGGAAATCGAACTTTACCTTCTGGAGAAGAGGGGCCCCGTTCCTTATTTGGGGTTCGTGAGGTCAACGCCCCGACTGTACTCCTCCTTCTCCGACCTGCGGTGGAGATGGCGAGGGGAAGGGCCATGAAAGCCAGCGGCCGCGCCCAGGCTTGGTGCTGCGACGCGCAGTCCCGCGGCTGCGAAACGCCAGCGCCGGCGCCACGCGCCGAGCCCCTGGCCGAGCCACCTGCCGAGATCGCGGCCAATACGCCCCGCCCTCAGATCACCAGCGTTCCTGTTCCCTCGTCGTCGTCCTCCTCCTCCTCAGCCATAGTTTTATGTGCAACGACTTCCTTCCTGTCGAGCCCCCCCCCCATGTGTTGGCAGTGCGGGCCGGGCATTTCTCATGAGATCTCCTCATTATCTTTTGTCCTGAAGCTTGAATATTGCACCAGGTACACGGGTGGAGGGGGGCCGTTTGCAAAATTGGCTTGTCGCTTTAGCGTCGCGCACGTTAATCTTCAAAGCTTGCAACAACTGCAATGATGGAAGGGTGGTTTTCAACAGGAGACTCTCGCCTTAGCGCCGCGCACATTCGATGTAAAGTTTACAACAGCTACAAGGATAGACGGGGAAGCGTTTTTTGTAATGGGGACCCTCGCCTCAGCGTCGCGCTCAGTTGTCTTAACAGCTTACAATTAAGGGGCGTTGTTCTCATTGGAATTATCGCCTCAGCGCCGCGCACGTTCGTATTGAATGTTTGCGGCGGTTGCAAGGATGGAGGGCAAGTCCTTTTCAAAATGAGATGTTCGCCCTAGCGCCGTGCACATTCGTTTGAAAAGCGCGCAACAGCTACAGGGATGGAAGGGGCCGTTTTCAAAATGAGACTCGCTTGAGCACCGCGCGCGTTCGTCTTAACCAATGAAAGTGCAGGAGGTATAAGGATTGAGTGGAGGTCGTGTTCGTGTAAGAATGGAAGAGTCGGTTTCAAAGTGGGGCGCTCGCCGTAGCAGCGCGCACATTCGTTTTTAAAGTGCACGGCAGCTGCAAGGATGGAGGGAAGGAAATTGTTCAGAATGGGGTTCTTGGCTGATTGCCGCACACATTCGTTTTAAATTCATTCAGCAGGTATAAGAATGAGAGCGGCTTCTTTCTGGAATGGGGCGTTCGTTTCAATGTCGCGCACGTTCGGTTAAAAAGTTTGCAACTGTTACAAGGATGGAGGGCTTCTCCTTTCCAAAATGGCGTTATCGCCTCAGCGTCGCGCACATTCATCCTGAGCGCGTGTAGCAACTACGAAGATGGTTGGCGGCTCCTCGTTCAAACTGCAGATATCGTTCGAACACATTTCAATTTCACGACCAGAAGGCTGAACCTATGTAACATCGACTCGAATGGAAGGCTTACACCATTCCGCCGGCTCCTAGACGAAGGTGTCTACAACGTCTTACATGACAGGGATTGCAGCCATGCTTGGCCAATGCTTGGAAGGGGGACGGCCAATAGCGCGGACGCCGAGCATGGAGGCGATCAGCAGGGTCACCAGGCCGCTTGAACACCACCCTTGGACAATTTGTGCGTGCTTGTCTTGATGCGTTGCAAAGCGGCGTAGGGTCAATGTCGATGTTGGGGGAAACGCACGAGAGCCCGAGCATGGGGCCAGGAGGTTGACGAATGCCCCACGAATGCGACAGCCATGGCGTTCCCCAGGCCACGAACGAGGACGACATGGAGCAATTAAAGAGGGAGGCGGAGGAGGAGGAGGAGGAAGAGGAGGAGAAAGAGAAAGAGGAGGTGGTGGAGGAGGAAGAGGAGGAGGAAGAGGACGACGAGGACGAGGACGAGGCGAGGATGAGGACGAGGAGCAGGAGGGGAGAAAGAGGAAGAGGAAGAGGAGGAGGAGGAGGAGGAGGAGGAGGAGGAGGAGGAGGAGGAGCCCTGGGGTCAGGCCATTTTGGCACGAGGAGCCTGGAGTTTAGGCGTCGCGCCCCTGATAAACCCAGACCAGTCCAGCCGCCTGGGCGCGCGCGCGACGACGCGTGCCGTGAGATCGAAGGGGGTCCGGGAGCCTCCTTGGCATCAGAGACAGAACGAAAAACGGGGCAGGGCTCGCTTGCTCCTTGCAATGCTCAAGGCACAGTCCCTGATTGGGGAGCATCACTCGGCACAGCGGCTTGCAGAAGGGATGAGGGAGTATGGCAGGTAGCATTGTCTTTGTGGGACGTATGTGAAGAACCATGCGAGGTGCTTGTGCGGGACAAGCTTCAGCAACAGGGTCACGGAAGAGGTTCCAAGGGCCCCTGGAGCCCAGTCAGGAGCCCCGAGTGCGTGGCCCAGCGTCGATCGGGCGATCGAGGAGCGGAGGAAGCAGCAGGATGCACATGCTCGTGGGAGAGAGCGGCAGAGGAGTGCGAGCAGAGCACGGTTGAAGGAGAGGCTCATGGTAGACAAGGTTGTGGAGCCGTACTTCTCGAGGGTAGTGCTTATGACGAGGGCAGAGGCTTCAGACCACGAGTGCTACAGCGAGGCGAGCTCAACAGACGCGTTGGTGCAGAAGCGGTTCCAGGACGAGACAAGGGCCAAGATGGTAGAGATCGTGGCGAAGATGGCAATCTCAGCTCGCCGCGCGGGCGAGGCCGACGAAATCGCGAGGCTCGACTCAAAGCTAGGAGTGTACGAGTGCATGATGGGAAGCACCGGTCCGACAGGCAACCAGACTGCGGAGATGAAGTCCAAACGCGCGAAGGCGACGGAGCGCCTCCGCAACACCAGGGCGAGGATGGCAATGCACCAAAGGCAGGAGGGAGAGATCTTGGGCGAGATGGAACGGCTGAAAGATTACATCGCGGAGCTAGAAAAGCTGGGACGCGAAGAGGAGGCAGAGGGAGACGTACCAACGGGCGTCGCGCTTGGTGGGCGTGCATCGCAGCAGCGGCCGCTCAGCAGCATGAGCGCAGCGTCTGGCTGTCGGCATCCCGCGCAGGTTGGGCAGGCCCCTCATCAGGTACCGCATGGACCAGCGGCAGGGGTCAGGGCGACCAGATGGCGCAGCAGATGATGCAGCGGATGATGCAGCGCATGGAGCATCAGGACAGGCAGACGGGCTTCATGATGCAGGCGACTGGGGCTGGTCGGACGGAGGTATAAGATCGAGGTCGGTTCGATGAGGGTACCCTGATGTTCTTCGTGTTGGTTGGATGTTCTTGTGCACCCTGAGGAGGGTACCCGTGGATGTTCTGTGCGTTTTGGCCGACGGAGGGTCTCGTGTTCTTGAGGGATGTTCTTCTGGCCTAGTTCCGATTGTACTATGAACGGAACGGCGCCGCCACCACCGCCTGGAGGAGGCCCCGCACCGGGGACAGGGGGGGCCAATTCACTCGGGCGCGGCTGGGGGGGGGGGCTGCGGGCGCCGGCCGCGGCCACCACGAACGCGCAGGGGGATTTGGGACGATGGACAGAGCGAGCCAACAGGTCCGCCCCGAACCAAGTGGAAGCGGAGATACTGTAGCGGCAGCATCCACGAGGGCGAGTTAAGCGGCAGCGGCAGCGACGGCACCCTCCACGCATACCCCAGGGTCGGCGGGAACGAGAGCGGTTGCGGTGGACGTGGGCTCCACACCGCCACCTAGGCAGCCAGACCCCAGGATCCCGATTGGTGGCATGCCTAACCCAGTGGCTGCAGCGTCGATGGCCCCCATGGGCGGCAACCGGAAGGCAGAGCCGAGTACGCCATTGGCTCCATTAAAGAGTGCGCCGCCGCGTTCGCTAACGTCGCCCGCGGGAACCCAGCCGACGCCACAATCGAGGGAGCATATGGCAGAGGAGGCGCCATTGCCAGCGGACGCGAGCCCAATCTCAGCGACAGAGCCGCTCGAGCAGGCGACGCAGGGGAAGCCCCCCACGTCGACGGCCCGTATATGCTGCCACCGAAGTGCTGGGGAGTCACCGGCCCACCGGAGGAAGACCCGATGACGAGCAGCCAGGTACAGCGAGAGGTCAAGAAGGTAGACGAGGCTTGCGCGAGCGCGGAGATACGTGCCCAACCGCGGGAGGAGGGCAGCGCACTGGGACAGAGCGCAGTGCCAAGCGCCAGGGCCGCGGCGGTTTCGGGCGGTGCGTGAGTTGGGGCGCGCACCCAGTGAGGTACGTGAGTTTGCATGCAGCCCAACCGTGTGGGCAGGGTGTCCCGCTGCAGGGGTCGTTCGGCCGTCCGCGCCAGGGCGCCCAACGCCGCAAAAGAAAATGCGCTGACACACAAACTCTGCCATTTTTTGGTCACCCCTGAACCGCACCCGCGTGCACGGGCGGCTCAGGAAAGGCACTTGCGAGGTGCCTGCGGGCAGCCCAGGAAAGCCACTTCCCCGGGGCCACAGAGCATGACGTGGACAGTGGCTCGGGAAGTTCGTTATACAGTGCGCCGCCCGCCGACGGTGAGGAGACGGACAGAGGAAAACAGCACGGGGGAGCGTGAGGGGGTTGGCTTCGGCGGGCCCAGATCTAACCGCCCAGCGCTCGGTCATGTTCGGCCTTGGACGGCCCAGGTCAGCCCCAAGAGCGCCTCAGAGGGCTCCAAGACGGCCCAACACAGCCCCCAGAGCGCCGAAGCTACCTCCCAGACGGCCTCAGGGAGGCCCAAGAGGGCCACAAGTCGGCCCGAGAGCGCTCAAAAAGGGCTTAGTATGGCCTCACGACGGCCAAAGAGGCCCTCCAGGCGCCCCACGAGGCTTCCAAAAGAACGCCCAAGAGACAAACATCGCCTTATTCCTTTCTGGGAAAACGCACCTGTTTAGCATATCTCTTCTTTGGTCTTCACAGCGTCCACAACGGCCTAAGAGGCCCTGTGGATCGCCCCGGGACGGCACAAGAGGCCCCCGATATTGCCCCAAGACGGCCCAGGAGGGCTCCCAGATGGCCCAAGAAGGCTTCGAGGAGGCCCCAGAGAGGCGCCTGAGAACCCCAAAAGGTTTTTAAGAGAGCCCCAAGAGGGCCACTGGAGGTCCCCGAGAGGGCCCCAGAGGGCCCCGAAACGGCCCCAAGACGGCCCAAGCCCCGCAATGTGGCCCAAGAGGGCCCCAAGACGGCTCAAAGAAGCTCCAAGAAGGCCCAGAGTGATGGTATTCATTGATTTCGCAAGATTGGTTGTTGGTTTTTGTATGACGCACCAAAGTCTTAGCACAAAGAGGGTTCCAAGATACTGAGCAAACGATTTCGCTACTTCACACAGTACGAGCGCTTTCCGTCCCCCGTGCCAGTGCCAGGTAGGTCGAATTGTTTGTGGCCCATCCAGCCACCGTGCTTGGATTGTGCGTCTGAGGCGTCTTGGATGTTCGTTGGGATCTCGTCGAGGCCTTTCGGGGGCCTTCTGGAGGCTGTTTTGAAGCTTCTGGGGGGCTGTTTGGGGGCCTCGTAGGGACCTCCCGGGGCGTCGTACGGACCTCTTGGGGCCTCCTGGGCGCCTCGGGCAGAAGGCGCGGATTTTATTATCGTGCTCACCCTCTTGGGCCCGTCTTGGGGCCGCTTCGGGCTCTCCTGTGCCCTTTTGGGGCCCTCTTGGGGCGTCATGGAGCGTCGGAAGCTAGAAAAGTGGATGACCACAAACACATTCTGAATAATTTCAAGAAAATCAACTCAGTTGGCCTCTCGGGGCCCTCCTGGGGACGGCTTTGGGGGCTTTCCTGGGGCGTCTCGAAGGCTTCTTGGGCCGTCTTCAGGCCATCCTGGACGTCTTGGAAAGCTACTGGGCCGGATCGGAGGCCTCTTTGACCTTGCCGGGGTGTTCTTCGGGCCCTCTTCGCCCGTTTGGGGGCTCTGCTGGGCGGGACCGGCACTCCAGAGGCCCATGCGACACCCCAGTAGCGCCTGGCAGCGCCTGGTAGCGCCTGGGAAACCGGGGGTCCAGGCCTTCAAGAACCTTGCAGGCGTTCCACCTCTCAGGGCTGCATGAGCTTTGGGGCATTTCGCTACGTGCTGACGGCACGGTGGCAGACTTGTACACGTGATCTATATACATATCATGTCATATCACAGACATATGATATATATATATATATATAGCCAATATATATATATATATATATATATATATATATATATGTTGAATATATATACAATATCTATATATATATACATACATATATATATAAATATACATATGTATATGTATGTAGATATAGATAGATAGATAGATAGATAGATAGATAGATAGATCGATAGATCGATCCCGGGAGAGCAGGCCCGAGGCCCGAAAACAGCTGCCCCGACCCTCCATGGGGGCACCGGGGCTCACTTTCCTTGTGTTTCTACAGGGTTTCCGCGTCCTGGGCCTCGGAGGCCGCCGCCTCCGACCCACCGTGGGAGGACGGGGCGCCCGGGGAGGTGCAAAATAGTCCAGGAGGGCCTCCAGAGGCTCCCAAGACGGCTCAAGCGGGCCCCGAGTCCCCGAAGGACCGCTCCAGAACGCCCAAGATAGGCCCAAGACGGCCCGAGAGGCCCCCCAAGGCACTCCACGACGCTTCAAGACGCCTCTCCAGAGCGCTTCCAGAGGCCGAAATCGTCAATTTTACGAAGCTTCTCGAACGATTTTGGCCTTCCAGCCTTTTCGGCGGCCGACGTTCTAAGACGGCTCAATAGGCCCCAAAGACGGCCCAAGAGGGCCCCAAGACGGCCCCAGGGTCGCTGAAGACAGCCCAACAGGGCCCCAAGACAGCCCCAAGATGCGCCCAAGAGGGGAACCACGACTCCAAAATTCCACCCTCCCGCTTAAAGAGTGCCCCAGGAGGCCCCAGGGAGCCCCCAAGAGGCCCCAGGAGGCCCCCAAGAGGCACCCAGGAGGCCCAAACGAGGCCTAAAGAGGCCACAAAAAAGCTCCGAGGAGGCCCCACAACGATCCCAAAACGGCTACCGAGAAGCTGCGAAACTGCCTTCACGACGTCCCCGACAGGCCAACCACGAGATCCAAACCAACACCCATGAGGCCTCTGACCCACCAGGGCACGGTGGCGGGAGCAGTGACACAGCATGTTCCGGCGGGAGCCTTCCGGAACACGCTGCAGGAGGAGGAGGAAGATCAGGAGGAGAGAGAGTTGGAGTGGGAGGAGGAGGAGGAGGAGGGGGACGAGGAGGAGGAAGAGGCCTCCCAGACAGCTCCAAGATAGCCGAAGAGGCTTCCAAGAGGGCCCTGGGCGGCCCACGAGAGAGGAAAAAACAACCTAACAAGTATTATAATTAAGGGATGGAAGAGGCGGAGTCGAGAGAGAGAGAGAGAGACACACACACACACACAAAGATCGGCTGCGTGCATGTATGTATGTATGTATGTATGTATGTATGTATGTATGCATGTAGATGCATATACATAAATAAATTACCCTGGCGACGTACCCAACCCCTGCGCAATGCGGGGCATGAGTAGCTTGGGAGACGTTATACGGAGGTGATGACGTGACATGGGCGCGTATACTTCTGCGAGCGGCATTCGTGAGGCTCGCGGCCCCCCAAGGATTGCGACGTCTCGCTCAGATATGCCTGGCGCCTCGCTCCGCTGAACCCGCCACCAGCCTTCGAAAGCTGCAACGGTTTCGCAGATCGCAGCCCCCCAAGGACGGCAAGGCCCCGCTCAGATCTGCGCGGTGCCTCAGTCCGCTGGACCCACCAGCAGCCCTCCAAGCTTAGAACAATTTCGCAGATCGCATCCCCCCAGGCACGGCGAGGTCCCGCTCAGATCTGCGCGGTGCGTCACTCCGCAGGACCCACCAGCAGCCCTCGAAAGTGGCGACAGTTTCGCAGATCGCAGCCCCTCAGGGACGGCAAGGTCCCGCTCAGATCTGCGCGGTGCCTCACTCTGCTGGACCACCAGCAGCCCTCGAAAGTGGCGACAGTTTCGCAGATCGCATCCCCCCAGGCACGGCGAGGTCCCGCTCAGATCTGCGCAGTAACTCGCTCCGCAGGACACGCCAGCAGCCTTCGAAGGTGGCGACAGTTCCGCAGATCGCTATGCTGGCCCCCCAAGCAGCCTTCGAAACTTGCAACAGTTTCGCAGGTCGCAGCCCCCCAGGCACGGCGAGGTCCCGCTCAGATCCGCGCGGTGCCTCACTCCGCTGGACCCACCAGCAGCCCTCGAAAGTGGCGACAGCTTCGCAGATCGCAGCCCCCCAGGCACGGCGAGGTCCCGCTCAGATCTGCGCGGTGCGTCACTCCGCAGGACCCACCAGCAGCCCTCGAAAGTGGCGACAGTTTCGCAGATCGCAGCCCCCCAGGGACGGAGAGGTCCCGCTCAGATCTGCGCGGTGCCTCGCTCCGCAGGACCAACCAGCAGCCCTCGAAAGTGGCGACAGTCTCGCAGATCGTAGCCCCCCAGTGACGGCGAGGTCCCGTTCAGATCTGCGCGGTGCTTCACTCCACTGGACCCACGAGCAGCCCTCGAAAGTGGCGACCGTTTCGCAGATCGCATCCCCCCAGGCACGGCGAGGTCCCGCTCAGATCTGCGCAGTAACTCGCTCCGCAGGACACGCCAGCAGCCCTCGAAAGTGGCGACAGTTTCACAGATCGCAGCCCCCCAGGGATTGCGAGGTCCCGCTCAGATCCGCGCGGCGCCTCATTTCGCAGGACCCACCAGCAGCCCTCGAACGTGGCAACAGTTTCGCAGATCGCAGCCCCCCAGGGGCGGCGAGGTCCCGCTCAGATCCGCGCGGCAGTTTCGCAGATCGCAGCCCCCCAGGCACGGCGAGGTCCCGCTCAGATCCGCGCGGTGCTTCACTCCGCAGGACCCACCAGCAGCCCTCGAAAGTGGCGACCGTTTCGCAGGTCGCAGCCCCCCCCAGGGACGGCGAGGTCCCGCTCAGATCTGCGCGGTGGCTCACTCCGCAGGACCCACCAGCAGCCGTCGAAAGTGGCGACCGTTTCGCAGATCGCAGCCCCCCAGGGACGGCGAGGTCCCGCTCAGATCCGCGCGGTGCCTCGCTCCGCAGGACCCACCAGCAGCCCTCGAAAGTGGCGACAGTCTCGCAGATCGCAGCCCCCCAGGGACGGCGAGGTCCCGCTCAGATCCGCGCGGCGCCTCACTCCGCAGGACCCACCAGCAGCCGTCGAAAGTGGGGACAGTTTCGCAGATCGCGGCCCCCCAGGCACGGCGAGGTCCCGCTCAGATCCGCGCGGTGCCTCACTCCGCAGGACCCACCAGCAGCCCTCGAAAGTGGCGACAGCTTCGCAGATCGCAGCCCCCCAGGAACGGCGAGGTGCCGCTCAGATCCGCGCGGTGCCTCGCTCCGCAGGACCCACCAGCAGCCCTCGAAAGTGGCGACCGTTTCGCAGGTCGCAGTCCCCCAGGGACGGCGACCACAGGGGGGGGCGGGAGAAGGACGCGACCACACCACTCTATTCAAAACGAGTACCCAACCAAGAAAGGTTGGGAATAAATACCGCCTTCCCCCCCGGCCCCGGGTCCCACACCTCCCCGTGACATCTCGCGCACGCTCCCGTTACCGCTCCCCCAGCCTTTCCGGGGAGCGTCCACAGCGCCCCAGGAGGGCCCAAGCCGCCTCCCAGGAGCCCCCAGAATGCGAAAGGATGGTCCAAGACGCTCCCAAGCAGCCCAGGTCAGCCTTGCGACGGCTCTCGAGGCTCCCAGGTGGCCTCCAAGAGACCCCAAGAGAGGTCCGAGACGCGCCCCGGGACGGCCCGAAGGAGCCCAAATCGTAGATTTTCATTGTGTTTGTCAATGCCCTTGGCTTCTCGCGTTTGCGAGCTTTCAATGGTCCAAGAGCGCCGAAGAGGCTCCCAAGACCGCCCAAGACCACCCAAGAGACCTTCAGGACGGCCCCAAGACGGGCCAAGAAGGCTCCAAGATTGCCGAAGAGGTGCCCTCCGTAACCATTTTGGCTCAAGTCTTACGTCGGTCAAGTGTTGTCCACTGCGCGCGATATTTCCAATGCTGGATACCAGACACCATATTTACATATGGACGTGGTTGAAACATGTCGCCCGAACGGTCTTGCTTTGTATGGCCAGAAACTTATTGACGCAGGTTTTACTTTGTGCTCTCTGTGCCAGATCTCAGCTGATGACCTGAGCAAGCTCGACATTCCACCGTCAGCGCAGAAGGAGATATTTTTCATGATCCATGGGCGAACTTGGGAGCCTGCGCGCAACTCTGCGTCCCTCGTCGTAAAGGAGATCATGCCGCCGCCGGCGGAGGCGTGGGGACAAGCTGATGACCCGCTCGGCCCTGCGCCTGTGCTGGGTAAACGCGACTCCTCCGTTGTAGTTTCTATCACCGCCCGTCAGAGTAACGCCGACAGTGGGAGAGGTAGCACAGCGAAGTCTTCAGCGAAGTCGGCTAGCACTTCGTTTTCACTGAGTCAATGGTTTGAAAATTTCGTGGGTGAAGCTGTTCGGCTGAGCGACAAGCCGGGCGCGAAGAAGAGTATATCGCGCATGATGGCGCTCATCCTCGTACCCTTCGCAGTCTCTTTCAGAGCCATGGGCTACAGGTGGGCCTCGAACAATGGCACGCCCGAGTTCTCACTCTTCTTGCCATCGATGTTTGGAGCGATCATCGGGGCTGGACTAGGCAGCCTACTGCTTGTGGCGAAATTCGGCTTCGATGCCACACGAAGATTGTTTCAGAAACAGTATGTACTCGTGTGCGGTATAGGTGTGCTGCGCGGTATCATGTTTGCGTGTGAAAATGTTGCTCTCGCAAACGTTGACTCACTAATTTTCGCTGTGACAATGAAGTTTGCGATTGTCCCTTGCCTCTGCATGGAGGCACTTGCCAATAGAGCATGTCCCGCTGATGCTTTGCAGATGCTGACCATCATGAACGCACTTGTTGGCATCTGTTTGTTCTTGATATCATCGTCATCAGATGGTGTTGAAATCAGCATTCTTGGGGTCGTATTCTCCATACTCGCATCGATGGCCGATGCACTTGCTGACGTATCGATGGGCAATGTGTCGGGTAGACTTATGGCGCGCACAGAAAATGTAGGTGCTGAGCGAGTCCGGTGTATTGTTGTCATGGAGTTATCCAAAGCATTAGCGTTCATGCTTATACCGATGGCATTTGAAGCACGCGTTCTGCTTGACAAGGGCATTCTACATGGATTCGACAACAAAGTTCTGATTGGTGCAGTATTGGGCCCGGAGCTGAAAACAATATGGTTCAACGTGATGGTAATAATCAGTGGCGCATTGCCAACAAACTTGGCCGCCGCCTTCGACCTTACAGTCACATACATCCTCAAGGTGACAGTTTTCAGGACAGAGGACTTCGGGGCTACAGCTTTGCTTTTGGCAATGATTACCTGCGCCATCTTGGCCTACTTCATCCACATGATACTCCTGGTCAATGCGCAAGAGGCTGCCGTGCAGGAAGTTCGCGGGAGACTCTCAAGACGGTTTAGTGAAGACAACGTCCTGAGTCGGCGTTTGTCGCAAACGAGCATAGCCCCGGCCTAGGAGTCGACGCCGTAACAGAGCCGTGGGAAAGGCGTCCAATCCCAGCCACTCTCGAAACATGAAGACACAGGGCTAGTTTCTGTGATCGAGACAGAATGGATAGTGTTTCTTCCTTGCTTGGGGCACGACGGGCGTCATGACCCCCGCCCCCCCCCCCCACCCTATGACGTAACGCTCCCCCCCCGTGCGCTCCAGGTCTTTGACATTGATGACAATGATGATGATCCCCCTCCCCCAACCCCCTTCCGCTCGTGTCCCACCGCGCGCGACGCATGGCGGGGCCTTCCCGGCCGCCGCCGCGCCGCGCACGGTCCTTGTTGTGGACCTCGTTTATAGCTCCCTGCTGCTCCTCTCAGTGGTATCGTCCTCCGCTTCACGAGAAGTCGGCATCTTTTGGTTTCAGTGGCCTGCTCGAAGAGCGTAAGGAGCCCAAAATATTGGCAGCCGTACGCTACACCTCGAGGGAGAGGCTCACGCGTGGTCTCCACCCGCCGACGTTGAGGCCTGTACGTGCCCTGAAGTCTTTTAGAGGCCCGTAGCTACAGATGCTGAGGGCTCTCGGGCCGGCTGGTTGGCACAGCGCGCCTTCGTTATTGCATTGTCCTCGCGCGTCTGGCTGACTGACGTTTGGAGGTGGATCAAACAAAAAACATCAATTGCCGAACATGGCGAGATCACCGCCAGCGACGCCTCTGGCTGGGGCTGCGGGGTCTGCCGCCGCCGCTGCGACCACGAGGCTGTGGCCGAGGTCGGCCGCGCCGCGGAGAGATGGCGGCGCCTCTTGGAGGAGTCGGCCCGCGCCCGCGATCGCGCGCTGGGTCCTGGCTCACCTGGGGCTGCGCTCCGCGACCTCGGCGCCTCGCCGTCGTCGATGAGGAGGTTCAGAGGTGCCCAGGACAGCCCCAGACCACCCCAGAACAGGCCCACGAGCGGGAGCAGGAGGCTTCCAGAGACCTCTGAGAGGCCTCCGAGACCCCCCAGAGGGGCAAAATCGTTGATTTCCAACGTTTTTAGCCTTCTCGCGTTTTCCCGCTTCTAACCCTCGAAGATCGAGGATGATTTTGTTGGGAAAAAAGGAATTCTCAGAATTCTTTTTTTTCAAAGTGGGACTCCTACTCGGAGATCCAACACATCCCCTGACATCTGGCCAGTACCGCGCCTCCCGGCTTCCCGGGGGGCCCCCAAGACGCCCAAGGACAGCCCAAGACGACCCCAAGGAGACCCCAGAATGTAAAGAACGGCCCAACACGCTACCGCGCAGCCCGAGACACCCTTCCGACGGCTCTCCAGGCCTCCAGGAGGCCTCCAGAACCCCCAGGGGGTCCGGAAGATCCCATACCCCTGAGGGGCCCGGCTAACAAAATCCGCGCGGCACAAACAAAAAACGGTGCCGAACAGCGCCGAGGAATTCGCAAAATCATGGAAATCCCGCCGTTCGTTTTTTTCTCCACGTTTGGCCCCCGCGTTACTCTTTCACAACAGACCACAATGCAGACCCCCCCTCACCTCCCGAAATAGCACCCGGGAAGCCTTTTTGGGCCCCAAATCGTTGAATATTTGAAGGAAATTAGTGATTTCTGCGTTCTGCATTCCCCCTTCTATACGATTCCGAGGCTTGCGCAGGGCCTCCAAGGGAGTCCCTGGACACAAGAAGCGACCAACATGAGATTGCATGAATTAGCCGATCAAGCCTAGCTAGAACTTGAGCGCGCGCGATGGTCTAGTGTGTGTATATATACATATATATGTGTGTGTGCGTATGTGTTCACACATATATGTATATATATATATATACACACTTATATATATATATATATATATATATATATACATGTGTCTTCACATATATAATATATGTGAATAAAAAATAATATGGGATCTTGCGACCCCCCTCCTGAACGGGACCCCTCTGGATCCGTGGCCCCGGGGGCACCCTGGACGCCCTTGCAGACGGTCCCCTGTGCGTTCCGGGGCTCCTGCAGCCCTTGCTGGGCCCAGGCAGCGGGCCCAAATCAGTCAGGAGGGCGGCCAGACGGCCCTGCGAGAGCCCACAGAGGCCCCAGACCCTCACCAGACGCCCGAAGACAACCCGAAGAAGACCCCCAGGAGGCATTCGAAACGCAAAAAACGTATGGTTTGCGCATGATTATAGGGCTGCTCAGATCTTCGGCCAGAGCATCGCTCCAAATTTAACCAAGAGGGCTTCCAGGCAGTCCAAGAGGAGCCCCAAGACGGCCCAACAGGGCCCTGAGGTGGCCCGAAGAGAGCCCCATGACGGCCCAAGATGGCCCCAAGACGCACCCCGAATCCTTCCAAATCGTGACCCGGTCATTCAGGGAGACCTCGGTTGGAAGCAGCGTGGCCCGGGGAAGCCCCCAGTGGCCCCTAGAAGGAACCCAGGAGTCCTCCAGAATGCCCCAACAAGCCCTTACAAACCTTCGTGAGACTTACAAGAGGCTCTCCTAGGATGAGCCTCCGCAAACAGAGCTGAGGATGGTGGCGACTTCGCAGGACAGGGCGAGAATGAGGAAGAGGAAGAGGAAGCATGAGGGAATAATAACGAATATTGGTGTTACAACGACGGTGCCAGAAAATGCAACAACGAGTTGTCGCTAAATGTTCCGTTGTACCTAATTGCTTCCTTGCGTGCATGCCAAACTTGAAGGACCAAAGTGCGTGGCGCGAAGCGCCAATTCAGTCTTGTATATACATAGATATAAATCGACACCTCTCTTCCGTTGTCCTCAGGGTCTCCCACTGTCGCATCGTATCTTCAAGTAGTGCGGACGGAATGACCGCATATTAAATTGAGCGTCATCCTTTGCCAAGATGAATTTGGCATGGTGCGACCAGGTCCTTGTTACGCACGTTCCCCGCCGCTGCCGAGTGGCGAACATTTGAGAGTGGAAAGTGTGAAGCATGGGTGCTGTTTAGCACGCTGCCCGCAACCAGCACCTCGGTGATTGCACAAGGAGGCACATCCCTCCTTTTATCGCGTCATTGTTGCATCTCTGTCCATCCTCTAAGTACCTGGCCATCTCTGTCCATCCTCGTTTGCTCGCCCTCTGTCGTTTCGGCTCCGCTCCTTCCTGGCCATCCCCTCCCCACTCATATCTCCGCTTCCGTTGCAATCCCCTTCCTCCCTGACCTTCCCTTTTCCCTTCAAGTCCCCATCCCTCTCCTATGTAGTTTCTTGTTACGTCGCTCTCTCTCTCTCTCTCTCTCTCTCCTTTTTGTTGTTCTCTATATATATATAGAAAGAGAGAGAGAGAGAGAGAGAAAAAAAAGAGAGAGAGAGAGAGAGAGAGAGATAGAGAGAGAGAGGAACATGAAGGTGGAGGAATGAGGGACTAAGGAGAAAGGGGGGAGTAGGAGGGAAGAGGGAAAGAAGCTGGCCGAGGAGAAGGAAGATAAGATAACAGGAGGCTGGCCGAGGACAAGGATGAACATATAGGAGGCTGACGCGAAAGAGGAGGATGATGGGGAAGAGGACGGGAGGACGACGAGGAGGGAGATAGGGACGAGGAAGAGGAGGAGGAGGAGGAAGAGGAGGAGGAGGAGGAGGGCGAGGAGGAAGAGGAGTAGGAGGAGGAGAAGGAGGACGAGGAGGTGAAGGAGGAGGAGAAGGAGGAGGAGAAGAAGGAGGAGGAGGAGGAGAAGGAGAGGGGGGGGAGGAGGGGGGCTTAGAAGGTGGATGGCGAGGGGAGGAGGAGGAGGAGGAGGAGGAGGAGGAGGAGGAGGAGGAGGAGGATGAGAGAGGAGGAGGAGGAGGGGGAGGAGGAAGGGGAGGAGGAGGACGAGAGGAGGAGAAGGAGGAGGAGGAGGAGGAGGAAAGGTGGAGGAGCAGGAGGAAGACGGGGAGCTGGATGAGCCCAAAAACAGACCTGATGGAAGGGGGCTGGGGGTGAGAGGGGGGACAGACTGAAAAGGGTGAGGGAGGTGGTAAAAGGGGGGGGGGGGAGGAGGGAGTGAGTGGGAGCGGGGACGCACGGAGAAGGATGCGGTGGGGGGGAGTTGGAAACGGGAAAGGGGGCGAAGCGGGGCCGCCCGTGCCAGCCAGCTCGTGCACCGTGCAGCACCTCGGGCTCGAGCTCCGCGCACATCCCCACAAGAGGGGCGCGGCCGCTCGGGGACGGCTCGGCTGCTCACGCCGCCTGCGGCGCAAGCCCAGGGCAGCCCCAAGCTTTAGGGGCTCGCGGTGTCGAAGGGGCTCGATGTTTGTACGTTTGGTGTGGTTCCTCCTTTCCCTCTGCACTGGTAGTGTCCGGGCAGCAACGGTCACGGGTAGCTCGTGGTGCCACTGTGGTGGTGCCCCGCGCGTTTCTCCCAGGCCAGGGTTCACAGCATGGGTTTTCCTGTTGCAGGGCGGTCTGTGCCGCGCTCTGGGCGTGCCTGGCGACTCTCTGACTCGCCCTGTGGTTCCACATAGCCGATGTGTCGAGCCTTGGTGGTCGCGCTCCCCCTTCTCCAACACACGTTTCGTCGCGTGGTTGGCCACAGGGCCCAGATGTATTCCCAAAGAAGGGATACCGTCTTGACCCCGAGCGCCTGCAGCTCCGCGCGGACCGATCGGATCGGAGCTGGGCCTCCCCGGCGGCGCCTCCACTGCAACCCTGGACGCGCTCCGCGCGCCAGGAATCAGGAGGGAGAAAACACACAGACACAATTAATCGACGACTCCTGGGAAAAGATGGGAAAATATGGGGGGTATTTTTATTTGTGCGTATTTGTTTGTGTGTCCCAGTTCCCCTTCAGGTAAGAGGGCCCAGCGCCGATAAAAAATCCGCGCGGACCTCCGACCGTTTGTGCTTTATGCTTGTTTGCAGCCTTGCCCGATTCGGCGAAGGAGGTCGGTGTATGGACGCTCCAGCGTCCCACAGGTTGAGCAGCTGGGGCGTCTGTGCACCGAGCTCCCTGACCAGAAGGCGTGGTGTGTTCCTCGAGGTCGGCGGCCAAGAGCAGATCTGACCGGGGGGGGCGGCGCTCCAAGCAGGGTGCCGCCGGCCCCATTGGCCCCCAGAGTGGCAGGCCGAGGAGCTCGGCCCACGGGAGGCGGGCAGCTCGGGTTGGCCCCCTGGCCGTCGGGGAGGCCATGGGGGGGGCGCCGGGGGCGGACAATGTGGAGCGGCGAGGGCGATTCGGACTGGCCCCTGGCATCGCTCGGACGTGTGCATTTTTCCTTCGGCGAGGACCAT